AAAAAAAAAAAAAAAACGTTTTCTTATTTTTAATATTATTTTAAAATTTTAATCATTCTAAAAATAATTTAATAATTCTTATAATACATTCCAAACATTTAAAATTGTAAAAAACTATATTTATTTAATAATTCCTATAATGAGTCAATTATACAATTTTCAAGTCTTTGAAATGTAAAAATTAGACTATTTTTCATAATTTCATTTTTTAACTAGACAAGTTATACTTAATAGTTTTATACATGCTTTTGAAATTTTCAACAAGATAATGAGTGTCAAAATCATAATTACATAATCTGAACCATTAACTTTTTAGAATAATGGAAATAAATAAATGTGTTATATTAACTATTTTCCATTAGATAGATCGTAGTGAACCATCAATTCCATTTGGTTGAAAATCAAATATGTGAAAAAGCTTCTTTTTTAATAAATTTCTCTGCATTTATGAAGAAAGAACTTTTAAGCATGCTAATGTCCTGTTTGGTATTATTTGTCAAAAATTGTAATAAAGTGAACCTAAATAATTTAAATTATTTTTCACGAAAAGTATTTCAGTTAAGAAAAATGCCATTTGAATAGATTGGTTTGCACCGATCTTGAACAGATCCTCTTACATGAGGTGGGTCCCGAGGACCCACCTCCCCCAAATGTTAATAAACCCACCCACCCCAAGACCCATTGGCTTGCACAGATCTTGTACCGATCTGTGCAAGCAGCACGGTCCTTCATTAATTATTGGTTTCAACATCACAATACAAAATTTCATTTGAGTAAGAGAACGATAAAAATCTTGATTATATATATATATATATTTCGATGATGAAAAGTGTTAGAACTCATGATTTCATTGAAGTTATCTTCTTTAATTTTTGCTTCTCAAAATTAATTAAAAGTTTGTATTCACTGAAATTCAATAAATGCAAATATTTTTCATGCCAATTTTTTTTTTTTTGGCAAAATCTAAATGCACTCAAAATCCATTGGATTTGTACTAATATGGTACTATACCAAAGAATTAACGTGATTCGACCTTGTACCTAAATTTTATAGAAAATGTCAACTTCAAATTAATGGACCAAAAAATAAACAGTGTTTTAAAATGAGAAAATGTGGTATGGTGTGGATGCGAAATTCCAAGTTTTACGAGCTTAAACGAGTCTAGGTATAAAAAACGTTTTCTTATTTTTAATATTATTTTAAAATTTTAATCATTCTAAAAATAATTAAAATAATACATAGCAAACATTTAAAACTGTAAAATACTATATTTATTTAATAATTTCTATAATTAGTCCTTACTATGTCATGTGAAGAACGAAGTAACCTGATGTAAAATGCCACGCAACGCCATCCTTTATACCAGTTTTAAAATACTTACAGCGAGGAAATAAGCTCAAGCTCTTTATCCTGATAAACTTGAATAGAGCCTTGTACAAGCTCTTCAAGTCATAGAAGAAAAAAGAGGACGAAATATGTGCTTATGAATCCACGAGGCAGGTCTTCCATGTCTGATTGTGAAACTCACAAGTAGTCATCAAATTATGAATACGATATATGTATCAAACACATAGCCTTCTATGTAATATTCTTGTACTCAAACTCTGTTAAAGGATAAATTCCACATTGGGTAATTATCGAAATATAGATCAATTGGACTACTCCTCTTAATAAAATTGACATTTTAAAATGGAACACAAAGTCTTAATAAACTCAAGCATCTTAATTAATAGATAGAGCACGAACCTGAAGAAGTGTTAGCTTGAGAATGAATACTCCGATGCCTCTGTGCACAGGAATGGAATCATGCAGCCTGTGGTTAAGTGAAAATCCAACAACCACTGCAGCAATTCCAAACAAAAATCCTATGAACTAAATGACTACATGAAGGTAATACCACAGGGGATCCTTATGCTTAAGCTAACTTGAAAAATTGCCCCAAAAGTGTGAAACAGACCCCATCCCAATATAGCCAGTACTCCACGAGTCTTCCTGTTTTTAATATTGCTAGAAGGTGAGTCGCCATTAACATCCGTGTTACCTATGAGCGAAATGTTTGCTAAAAAAAAAATTGTTACATTCGGCCATAAACAGACAATTTGTAAAAGTTTCAAGTGATTGTACCGAGCACGAAATTTGTGCATAATCTTTTAGCACATTCTCTAGTCTGAATCTTCTCTTACGTTTACAAAAATATACTCCACATATTTTATTTAAGCATTTTAGGGTGACCTTATAGATGACAATAATTCCGTTCCTTCTGTATTTGGTGAAAAGGTGACATGATTAGATACTATAATGAACAAAATTTTAGTTTCTTTCTCATTTATTATAGTTACCAAACATGCCATTAGATATTCATGGATAGGCAAGGAAATGAGAAAAGAACAAACTTGAGGAGAAATCGAATTTGATGGTCTTCTTGTCCTCGTGAACAGTAAGCCGAAGATGGTGGGGGTGTTTTACTGTTAAGAGCGATTAAAATCGGCTGCATTTTGAGAGTTGCGTTGTACTTGAGCTGGAATGCCAAGTACATTGTGGCTTCAC